GCCACGTGCTGCTCCTGCCTCCAGCCAGATGCACACAAACCGACAGCACGACGGCCCCCGCCGCACGTCCCCGCACCAGCTGCGGCCCCCTCAGCGGCGGGTTGCGCGACTTGTCCGTCTCCTGCCGCTGCGCCTGGCGCTGCCAGTGGCGCTTCAGGTGGTCGTAGTCAACAGACCTCTGAGGGGGCGGTGTGTGTGTGTGTGTGTGCATGCGTGTGTGTGCGTGTGCGCGCGCGCGCATGTGTGTTTGTGTGTGTGTGTGTGTGTGCGCGCGCGTGTGTGCGTGCGTGTGCGCGCGTGTGTGCGTGTGTGTGTGCGTTTGTGTGTGCGCGCGTGTGTGTAAGTGTTTGGGGCGGGGGGTAACAACTAAACAGCAGTCGGGCACGCAATGCGCGAGCAGTGGTCCGCCCCGCCCTCCCGACAGCGCGGGCTGTGCGCGGCGCGTCTGAGCAGCCCCTGTGCTGTCCCTCGCCTCCTTGCAGCAGCAGCAGCAGCAGCAGCAGCAGCAGCAGCAGCAGCAGCAGCAGCAGCAGCAGCAGCAGCAGCAGCAGCAGCAGCAGCAGCAGCAGCAGCCGGACAGGGCCTGTTGTCTTGATGCCCCGCCCCACCTGCAGGAGCCCCGCCAACAGGCGGCTCTTGGCGGCCACGGTGCAGCGCAGCCGCGTCGACTCGTAATACAGCAGGGAGGCCGCCTGCGGGGCTGTCCAGCGGTGTGGGGGGGGGGGGGAGGGCGCGGCCGGGCGCGGCGGCTCAGAGTCTGGACGCGTGGTGTGCGATTGTCGCGCTCGCACAACCCCTTCAAAACTCCAGATGCGCTTATGAACCCATCAAGTGCATCAAAGCTGCACGTGACTCAGGCCACACACATGAAGTACTGGACCCCCTCAATTTGCTCGCATCCCCCGCCGCAGGCGGCCCGGCGGCAGGCGGCCCGGCCGCAGTCGGCTGCAGCGCGCTGCCGCGGCGAGGGCGTCACTGCAGGGGTGGGCCTCACGTGGAGTAGGGCGTCGTCTGTCGCGTCGGTCATCCTCCAGTGACGCTTGACCATTTCGGGCAGGTTCATGGCCTCCACGCCGACGGTCCCCAGGTGGAAGCTTCCCAGCAGCTCCAGGTATTGGTACAGGATGTCAGCCGGGACGCTGACCTGGCGGGAGGGGTTTGATGGCCGATGCGGGCGGCAGTTGAGCGTGCGAGTGTGAGAGGGAGGAGTGCGAAAATCCATTCAGGAAATGAATTCAGGACGGGTGAGCGGGCTGTGGTTGGCTCTGGCACGTGCAGCCGGCTTCCGATGGCGGCCCAGGGGTGTGCCTCACCTGCCGCATCCGCTGTGCGGTGGGCAGCGCCCGCCCTCACCTTTGCCAACTCGATGAGCCCGAACCCGTCTTCTGCCGCCACCGCCTGCTGCACCGTCACCACGAGGCGGCTGCTGTAGGGCATGAGCGCCCACAGGGCGGGGTTGGAGAGGAGCGCCTCCGACACCGGGGGGACGCGCAGTGACACGTCATTCTCCAGGGCACTCGTCAGGTCACGCCTGGTCATGTTTGGGGAGGGGTGTCGGCCATGTGGGGGTTTGCAGGGTTTGCAGTCTTTTCAGGGGGGGGGGGTAGATTGGGGTTTAGGATTTTGGCGGTAGACAATGAGTGTTATCATGGATGGGCAATGAAGGGGTGCTGGGGCAACACGGGGGGCTCTGAGGTATGGGGGTGGGTTGTGAGGGTCGAGATGGGGTGTGAAGACCTGGGAGGGGGTGGGCAGGGACCCGCGTCGCGCTGCCACCCCCCCCCAACACACACACACACACACCACGGCCAGCTGCTGGGCGGCACCTCCCCCAGCTCACCAGGCCGCCATGGCGATCGATTGAGACAGGATCTGGCGGTCATGCAGGAGAGAGTGACGGGCGGGGGCAGAACCAGATCAGCACGGCACGAGGTGGGGCCCGACACAGCCGACACCCCACCCCTGTCCCCTGGCTATGCGCCCACAGCAGTGGCCCGTGAGTGCCGCGAGCCGCCCCTGATGCGGCTGCCATCGGTGGTGGCCAGTGCGACGTATGCTGCTGCACCTACCCATGCCGCCCGCTTGCATGCACCAGCAGCAGCCCCTCCCTGAAATGCCCTGGATCCCCGTCCCTGCGCACAAGCACGCACACGCACAGTGCGCTGAGTAGTAGTACTACCCCCCGCCCACCGCGTACTGGGTGGCGCCGCCCTTGTCCATAACCAGGTGGTCTTCGAAGCGGTCAAGCAGCGCCTCGAATTCCCACGCATTGAACTTGAACACAGCCAGCGTGCCGCCAGATTCGGAGTCCAGGAGTGCCTTGTAGACGGCGTCCTCGCAGCCGGGCAGGAGGAGCGCGCTCTCAGCATGCTCCCTCAGGCACGCGCGCAGGCCGCCGCCCGCATCGCGATCAAAGAACGCGCCCGCCGGCGCGGCGGCGCCGCCGCCGCCGGCCATCCAGCTGTCCACAAGGGAGGGCGAGCGGCGCGCGGCCCTGGGGCAGGCGGCGCGGAGCAGCGTCGACGCGGGGCCGCCGCCGTCTGGGGCCCCGCGGGGGGGATCCAGGGCGGTCACAAACACACGTGCGCTCTGACCCCGTCGCGGGACGCGCCACTGCCAGGGGAGGCCCATCATATGCTCAGCGCAGCTGGGCTTGTCGCCTTCGGTGGTCCCGGGGCGGCAGAGGCCCGCGTGCACGATGCCCTCTCGCCAACTGTATTCCACCGCATCCTGCGACAGCGCTGCACTGCAAGCAAGGAGGGATGCTGCCAGGGCCAGCAGCAGACGGTTGCTGCCCATTATGCGGGCTATATTGCAGCCTCGGAGTCGGCTGGCGCCCCCAGCCGAATACCGAATCGCAATGATCTGATGATACGCCCCCTGGAGGTCGATTTCGTTGTCTCATTGACACGTACTGGGGAGGATATCTGGGTTGCAACCATATCATCTGAATTTGTTTTGTTACGCGGCACTGTACAGTATGGCATGTCGTACAGAGGGAAGTGATCCCCAGCGGGATGGAGATGCGCCGCCAGCTAGGAAGCGCGGAGGCCACATGGCCGCTCTTTGCTGCGGTACCGAAGAGTACAGGCCCTGAATAAGGGCGTTTTGGGGCCGTGTGGCAATGTACCGTACGCTGATCGAAGAACCAGATTATGTAGTTGAGCCAGCACGCATTTGAACTGCCCATGCAATCGCGAGGGCGCGAGAGGGGCGGGTCGTGCTGTCCTGTAGTCCAACGTCTGCCACTGCTCCTCAATTTGAGTTGTAGGTGATGGGAGTCCAGCAGCACGGTACTCCGGCAGATGGTGGTACCCTTCGGTCTGCACGCCCAGGTGAACGACGATCCGAAACCGCCAATGGCCACCAGGCTTGACAAAACCGCATGGGTCGCGATTGCTCGTGCGAGCCCCCCGGTATCACAACAAAGCCCAGGCTTCACATATAGTACACAGTGCAGGGTTGTATGACAACTAATGCAATCCCATCCGTTACACCGCAGCAGCCAAGTGGTAGGTCAGATGGCTGCGGGTGCAGCATCAGTCACATGCACCAACAGAGTTGCACCCCGTAGCTGCGGCGTGGGCCCTGTGATTGACGGCATGGGCATGTATTGCTTTAGACCCACAGTTCACTGGCACCTGACATCGCGACAAGGAGTCTGCCCGCAGATGCCGGGCACATGAAGGCCATTTGCCTACTGGATGCCAAAAATGCCAAGGGCAAAGCAGACTGAAAGCGTGAGCTCTCCTCACCACTCAATACATACCGCAATATCAATTGTGCATGTACCCCGATTTGCTTGTGCCTTGCCCCGAACTGGCTCTTCGGCGGTTCTTCGTGCACACGCAGCTCGACTGTCACGGCCTCCCGCAGCTCCATATGTTGACGTATTAGACTTTTAGAAGCTGCTTCATTCATCGTAAAGCTGGTGTGTCAGTACCCAACGCCGCTGCAGGCGCTGCTCGTGCTGCTGCATTGCCAGGCAGTCCTCGAGGCGCCACAAACGCGCCCATCAGAGGCAGGAGCAGCGCGCCCCAGGGACAACCAAGGAGCCCAGCCCCAGCGCAGGCATTCACTCTTGTCCTGAGCGCCTGCGCGGCGCTCCAGGCCAGGGGGCCTTGCGAGCGATGCCAGCGGCCGCTGTGGGCAAGGCCCCCAAGGTCAAGGCCCTGCGCCCCGGCCAGGTCGTCACCAACACACTCGGCACCGGCGGTGCCTCCAAGCCCCGGGGCTACAGCTCCTTCATCGAGTTCTACCGCGCCGCGACCCGCGCGCGCGACCCGCCCTGCTTCGCGGCCGGCTGCCGGGGGCGCGGCACGAGCGGGGGCCACGTGAAGCTGGCGCCGTCGCCGCTGCTGGCGGCGTTCAAGCTGAGCTGGTACATCGTTCCGGCCTGTCCGGCCCACAACAAGCGGTCGTCCTGCGGGTCGTACCAGGTGCGGGGTGGGACAGCAGCGGCACGGCACTCTAGTCTTGACGGGTGGGCTCCGCAGGCCCCTGCGCAAGCCGGTCTGCCGCTCTCTGGGGCGCAGAGCGAGCAACAGTGGATAAGAGCTCACATGCGGACGCGGCAGCTTGATCCAGAACTTTGCATGGCGGTGTTCTTGAATAGGCGTCTGATGTTGGGGCGCCCACCCTGCATTGGGCTGAGCTTCCGTGGAAGCAAGCAGGGTCGCAGCCCAGAGTGCCCGAAAAAGCGACCCCCAGCTGGCCTACCAGGTGCGCGCTTCCCCCCCTCCTGTCGCACTCTTTCTTGCGCAGGTCAAGGCTGGAACCCTGGCTGTGCGCGTGGAGACATCCTTGGCGGACCGCGTGTGCAGCCTCCCCGCTGACGGCAAGAAGCTGGTGGCAGCTGCCATGGGCAAGCACCACCTGTGATGCGTGACGGGCTGGGGTGGCAGCAAGTAGGGGGCGCGGCAGAGGCTGCGGCCAGCGGGGGCACACCTGGGCGAGTCCTGGGCCAGCTGGCGGGTAAAATTGGCTTGTCACTCGCAACATGGACGCAAAGGCCGCGGAACTCGCAGTCAACATCAAGGGGGTAACTTTGACTGTAGCGGCGGCAAAGTGCGCATTTATAGGCTTGGTTTGATGTCTGCCGTACAGCTGCTTGCTTGTTGCGCGCTCCTTATTGAGCAGCCCACCTTTGCAATCTATAGCAAGCATGTGCACGTACAGAATGTGTCCACCATATTTCCTTTGTGCTGTGCTGCAGTAGCTGTGTTGTTGTGTTTGTGTACGCGCCGTACGTTCAAGCGTGGCAGTGCTCACGCAACCTGATGCGCACACTGGCACTTGCTCACGTACTCAAATGCTGTCAAGAAGTGCAGATGTGAGACCTGACAAATGTTCAGCGGCTGCAACAAGGAAATCCAGGATCCAGCCTCAGCCCATGTTAGCCACAGTCCGTACGAGCATAATTCATTATTACGTATAAGTGCACGGACCGGAGTGTCACCGAGTCATCCGGGATGGCAGCGAAGGTTACGGCTCGCCTCGCACCGGCAACCTCTCCGCCGCCGCCCCCGTCACGGCAGCTGCTTCGGCGGCCGCCGCCGCGGCCCCCAGCCCCGCAGCGCGGCCGGATATCCATGCCCACAGGAAGTTGAACCCCCCGATGCGGCCGAAGACGTCGACGATCTCACCACACAAAAAGAGGCCCGGCAGCACCTTGGGGGGGGGGCAGCGATGTGGGGTTGTGGGGAAGGGGGGTATGACGCCAGCCAGATGTGCGGGGAGAGGGTTGCGTTTTCGGGCAGTGGTAGACGAGTAAAGCACGGAGCGACACAGCACCACTCAACGGTGGGGGTCCAGCATGGTTCACACTCTGGCCGGCACAGGGTGATGCGTCGCATTATTGTGGTGTTGCACAGACACTGCTGCCAGGGCCCAGCTCTGCCGGGCCCCTCACGACCACCACCATATGCGTGAGCCGTTGCCCCGCCCCTCTCACCGTGCTCTCCCCCGTGCGGCAGTTGATCTGGTTGAGGGGCACCCCGCCGCCGGTGACCTGCCAAGGGAAGCGACAGCGCGGCAGCACCCGAGCCAGATCAGCAGTTCTCCACCCCCAACAATTCATTGTCTCCCGAGTCACGTCCCTTCATCACCCCGTTCGCGCGCGCGCGTGCGCGTGCGTGCGTGTACGCAAGCGTGCGTGCGCGCGCGCGCGTGCGTGCGTGTGTGCGCGCGCGCGCGCGTGTGTGTGTGTGTGTGTGTGTGTGTGTGTGTGCGTGCGCGCGTGGCATGCTGTCCCTAAATGCAGTGTGCCGTGCCCCCAGGGCCCCACCTCGGCCTTCTTGTAGCCCTCGTGCCCCGTGAGGTCCAGGGGGTAGGCCGTGAGGGCCGACACCAGCGCGGCACGCTCCTCCTTGCGCAGCTGGGCGTGTGTGTGTGAGTGTGTGTGTGTGTGTGTGTGTGTGTGTGTGTGTGTGTATTTGTGTGTGTATATTTGTGTGTGTTTGTGTGCATGTGTGCGTGTGTGCGTGTGTTTGCGTGTGTATGTGCGCGCACGTGCGTGGCAGGTTGTTGCTGAGATAGAGAGTGGCGTCGGGAGGGGCAGGGTTTTGGGCAGCAGCTGGTAGATGATCAACCCGACGGCTGGCCATGCTGCTGAGGGCGCACACATCGTGGGCCCCAAACTGCGACGCAGCGGGAGGCGCCCTCCTCACCAGCAACCCCCCACCTGTGCCGCCGTGCGCCCCGTGATGCCCAGTGCGCTGCAGAGTGCCAGGGCCAGGCGCTCCTTGAGCCCGCCCCGCTGCAGCAGGGTGGCCACCAGGGCCGGCCCCCCCTGGCGCAGGCGGGCGTCCCAGTCCTCGGGGGCGTCACCCGTCCAGTTGGCACGGATGACTGGTGTGGGGTTAGGCCAAGGTGGTGTGTGCGGGGGGCGGGACCCCAGGGGGAGTGGGCCGGGGCTTGAATGGTGTCAAAAGCTTCAGCCAAGAGGCTCACTGTGGGGGAAAGAAGGAAGCAACTCAATTGCTGTGGACCGTCTCCTTTTGTGTCTAGGCGGTTGCACTGGGCCTGCAGGGCAGCTACACAAACACACTGCCCCATCAAACCCCTCAGCAGACAGCGTTTGCTCCACGTCATTCACCCAGCTGCGCCCACCTGGCGGCGTCTCCCCCCTCTCCAGCGCCACCACAGCCCTGTGGCTCAGGTCCAGCACCGCAGGCCCAGAGTAACCCTTGTGCGTGAACAGGAACCCGCCCCGCTGCGCCACAGCCACGGACGCGCCGCCGCCGCCGCCCTTGTTGCCCCCCTTGCCCTTGGCTTTCTTGCCGCCCCCCGGGCCGCCGCCTTCGCCGCTTCCTGATGCGCCGCTCGCGTCATCGGCGGCGGGGGCCGGGGCGGCGCGGTGTGCTGACAGCTTGACAGAGGGCAGCGTGAGGCCGGCCAGCTGCTCCCCCCCGGGGTGGCGGCCCAGGAGGGGCGTGAGGGCCGCGTAGGGCTGCGCCAGCGAGTGGCCCAGCTTCGCGACGATGCGGTGGCCTGGGGGGAGGAGGGCAGGAGTGGGTGCGGTCATCTGTGTTTGAGATGGGTGTTGGGGCGAGGGGGAAGGAAAGGGCTGTGGCGGCCAAGCCCCAGGGGGGAAGGGAGGCGCTGGCGCGGATGTGGTCTGCAGTTGGCGGGGGGAAGGCAGGGCCACTGGCAACTGAAAGCAGGGAGGAATCCGCTCATGCATATCAGAGGAAATGCAGAAGGCTCGCAGGCGCACAATTTGAGCCGCCCAAGGAGTACCAAACCACGAGTGTGCTGCGTTGCGTGCCGCACAACGCCGTGAGTGTGCGGACCTCACCAGTGCCGTCCGTCCCAACAGCAGGGAAGGACAGGCCCCCAGTAGCCAGCACCACGGTGCGCGCCCGCACGCCAGTGCCGCCTGCCAGGCGGCACACCCAGTCGCAGCGCTCCGCGCCGCCGCCCGTCACACGCTTGCGCTTGCCCTTGCCCCCAGTATTGGCACCTCTGCTGCCCCCGATTTCGATCTGGCCTGCATCCCCTGCTGCACCCACCTCAGTCCCGCTGCTACTGCTATTGCGACTGCTGCTGTTGCTGCTGCTGTCCCCGTTTCTGCCGTCATTGTCGCCGACATCATCGCTGCTACTGCTGCGGCTGCTTTTACTGCTGCTGCACTGTTCCAGGCCCTCAAGGCTCGAGTCGTACCTTTTCCGGAGCGTTGGGGGGGGGGGGCGGTGAGAGGGAAGAGGGGGTGCGTCGAGGAGCGATGCAGGGGCGAATTCCAACAAGTTTGGAGGCAGCAACATCCCCAGCATAATGCGGCCCTGCACCATCAACAGGGCATGTGCAGTGCTGTGGCCTTGCAAGTATGAAAGTCCACCGAGGACCGCGACCGACAGTTGGGAGGCAAAGGTTGTCCACACTGCGCGCCCGGCGCACGGGCCTTGCACGCGGCCGTCCCGGAGTCCTGCGGGCCTTGGTGTGGGGGCGCACCTGAACTGGACCCCTGCCCGCCTGCAGGCCGCCACCAGGGCGTCCCTCACGTCACGGGAAGAGTTGGAGGCCTTTGGGTGGGAGGGCAGGTGTGGCGGATCAAAGGGGTTCAGGGAGCAAGGGGGAGGGTGCACGGGGGCATAGATGGGATGGTGGGCTCCTGGGAATTCCATTGGATAGTCTGTTGCGATGCGCTACTGGACAGGACAAGACACCTCATCTCCGCCCCGTGTTCCACCAATCCAACCCAACCCTTCGCCCCGCCCCAGAGCAGAAAGTGACGTGCCGCAGCAGCCGCCCCTCCCCCCCCCTCTCACGGGGAACCACTTTGCGTTGGCCTCCTCCAGCTCCAGGGCCAGACCAATGTCATCCTCAAGCCTTGTTGTGTTGTGTGTGTGTGTGTGTGTGTGTGTGTGCGTGTGTGTGTTTGTGTGTGTGTGTGTGTGTGTGTGTGTGGCACGTGTGCTTCATGTGGGCGCAGGCCCACTGCAACAGGCAGGCAACCGGGCGATACCGCCGCATGCGCAGGAGGCCTGAATACTTCCTCGGCACGAGGGTATATGCACGAGCCCCCGCACCAGGCCCAGGAGTTGGCAGGACGCCCAGCCACCAAGGCAAGCCCTGCACTTCCGGAGCTTCCCCCCTCCCCCCCTCGTGTCCGCACCACTCCTTGGCGCCCTCCAGCGTCCAGGTGGCGAAGGCGGCCCTCAGTGCGCTGCGCGACGACTCTGTGAAGAAGTCGGTGTCCAGGTCAGCCACCAGCGGCAGGATGTTGCTTTGGGGGAGGGAGGGGGTGACGAGGGGCGGGGGGAGGTGAGGGTGCGCAAGCGGCGTCGCAGGTCAACGATGTGGTACTTTGGGCGGCTGGAGGATCTGGTGTGACGGGCCTCGCGGCAAGTTGGCAGCCAGCGACTCAACCGCGCAAGCGTCCTCCGCACAGGGGCGGGGGCGCGTCACGGCCCCCACCACACTTGGGCCTCTCCCTGCGGCCTGCTCCAGCAGGAGGCTGCGCCAGCTCATTTCGCCCCTCCACCTGCCTGCCGCACTCAAACCACCATCACCCACACCAGCGCAACACCGGCCGTCCCTCTGCCCCCCTCCTCCTCGCCCTGCTCCTGGCTGTGCAGGCGCCGGTGGCTCCTTGCCGATGACAACCCCCAGTCACGTACCCCCTCCCGCGGGAGTCGCGCCATCGGCCCCCCCCTCTGCAACACCTTGGCGCGTTTAGCAGCCCTTGATCAACATCGCCCCCTCATCCGCCCCAGCCGCTGGATCCCCCCCCACCCCCCCACCCTCACCTCCCCTCCCCCCCCACACACACACTCAAAAACCTTGACACAGATGTGCATGTACGCACGCGCACGTCCGTGCAAAGCCATGCGCGCACCATCTGCTGCCCCCGCTCATGAGTATCTTCTTGCCGGCCTCCCGGGTGCGCTCCAGCACCAGCACCTGGGTGGAGGGGTGTGTAATAAGGTGTGGGAAGATGCCCAGGGGGGGGGGGGTCCTGAACAGGCACCGCTGTAGGCACCCCACCCGTCTCAACGGTGCCAAGAACGGTCGGGGCAAGAGTGCAAAGCACGCCGCACGCCAAAGGGGCCACCGGTACCGGGCGGGGCTGACCCTGAGCCCCACCTGTGCGCCGGCTTGAGCTGCAAAGTAGGCCGCCGTGAGGCCTGCCGCCCCCGCACCCACCACAACAACGTCCTCCGCCGCCCCAGGCTGAGCCTGCCGAGCGCCGGTGCTGGTGCCGTCGCTGCCGCCGCCGCGCGGGACCCGTCCGCGAGTGTCGTGCGCAGGTGCCGCCGCCGGCCGTGCGCCTGCCGAGCAGCCACGGGCGCCGCCGCTCCGTATACTCGGGCGAATCGTGGGCCCTAGGCGCGATGCAAGCAGCCCTCGCATGGCGTACGAGTGTCGGTGCCGCTGCAGCAGTCACAGTTGCTGACGCCTGCGTTCGCGCTCCGCTGCTGCTGCCGCTGCGAACCGTGCAGTACTGGGCGGTGTTGTGCCAGCTGGCCTCCCACGATGCGCAATTTCTAGGGGACTATTTTGTTTTTGTAGTTCATGAAATCCCCGTGTCCTCATTCGATATCAGCGTTCGCGGCTCTTGAAATCCACTGGTGCACCGGGTGACCTTCGTGCTTGGCTACGTGGATTGGATTACCGCCGATAACTAAGTGCAGAGCGTCTCACCCCGGCTTCAGGATCCGAGGCTTTCGCATAGTTGCTTATCCCACCTGAGGTGCCGAAAGCCGCACCGGTGATACAATGGCTGCTCAACTCGCCTCTCAAAGGACGTCTACGGCACCTAGAACAGCCTTCCGGCCGACCCCGGCCGCAGTGCAGCATGGCACGCGCGCTGCCGCTCGTGTCGCTCGGCTACAGCGCCCTGGGCAGCAGTCCTGCTGCCAGCTCGCCAAGGCTGCAGTGTCGCCGCAGCAGCAGCACCCGCAACGTCGGACCGCCGTCCGCGTCTCCGCCGCCAAAAAGGCCGTGGCGGCAGCTGTTGTGTCGGCATCGACCGCCTCATTTCCCGGGCTGCAGCAGGCGGTGGCGCCCCTGGTGCCCGTGGCGGTGGCTGTCGCGGTCGTGACGGTGGGGGCAGTGGCGCTGCTGGTGAGCCTCGGGGCTTGTATCAGGCCCAATCGCAATCTTTGTGCTGGCTTATGAATTCATAAAGAGGCGCTGCGATGCACCACGCCACTGTCTATGCAGAAACCCGTTCCGATTCCCAATCACTGCTCCAAGCAACCATCCTGTGCGCGACACCCACGCGCACGCCCCCCGGCCAGATGGCCGTGGCGCCGACCTCCACGCTGACGCGCCGCGTGTCGCGCTCCAACAAGCCGTACGCGCTACTGGCCCTGGCCTACGGCGTGGCCCTGGCCGCGTCGTGGCAGGCCGACACGCTGCAGCTGATGATGCCGGGCAGCCTGGCAGAGGGATTCAAGGGTGAGCGCTGGCCCAGCGGTCGCTTTGGCAGCACTGAACATGAATTAATGCGCGCGCGATACGAGGCAAATAGGGCGTCCTTTGCTTGGCCCAGGGCCCATGAGGGGCGCGCACCTGGGGAGCCTGCTTGTGGTGGGCGGCCTCCTGCGCAGCCAGGCAACGGCGCACCGCTGCCTCATCCGCAGCCTCCATCATGACGAAGCGACGCGATGTCCCCCTCTCTCTTGCCCACTCCCCCCCCCCCCCCC